AAAAGTTAGTCTGGAGCCCTGTGGACTATTTATCTCTAGGAAGCAGTCAATTATCCTTGTCACCATTTGTTTTGCAGCGGAAAGACAAAAGAAACTAGATTTTCTGTGTAATCTGGATTTTTCAACACTCATCCAACTACTGAAAAATAGGTCACGGAGGGTCTAAAATATACTCCAAAGGTTTGTCCACTGAGAAACATGAATGTACTCAGATTTTGATATTTCTGGTGTACAAGGGAAAACTTTGACCAGTTGGTGGTGCTGGAGTAAAGAAAAGGGGGTCACCCTTTCAACACAATAAATATCTATATAAAATGTCCTAACAATCTGGGCAGCGTTTGCTGAAATACCTTGTCTAGACCAAGCAAACGACCTTGCTGACCACAGTCCCCTTCGCTAACAGGAAAGAACAGCCTATAATACTGACAACAATAAGACAGCTAAGATGTTAAAATGGCTTGCTTTTGGTAATTAAAACCACTTTTTATACCCTGCACACAAACACACAGCTAAAAAGAGCTTTTTGATAACCAATCATTGAGCTGTGTAAAATACAGAGCATTAAGGTGTCATTGATGACACATTATATCAGGCATCCATCATTCTGAGGAGATCACTGTGAAAGGAAAGGAGGCTCGTGCTTCATACAGCTGCTCTGTCCTCTTGTGGTCACAGCAGAATGCTACAACTATTATAAACGTAAAGTGGTCAGAAATACTATCATGTCAGTCATGTATGTTATGTACCCCAGAAGGTATGATCTGCTATGACCACAATACCTCATCTGATGATCTCTGAAAAAGTGATTTGGTTTGGATGGGTTTGGACCTATGTATGGATTTCCCATACCTATGTATGGGTTCCCCTTACATAGGTGCAACACAAATCACAGGAAATAAAAATAATCTGAGTGTGTGGGGCATCATTTTATAACCAATCTTCCCTATCAAAAGCAAAACATATGAAACCCTAAGAATCAGCGTTCACGCAAGTGGCAAGGTAAGAGCGACATATAAACAGTCGCATCTAAAGCTAGCTAGCTAATGTTAGCAAAACACTAGCTATTTAATCTACATCTAATCTTAAATAGCTAGTTACCTAGCATTTTGCTACGGAGCAAAACACTAGCCAACTAGTAAATTAAACTACATAAATTGTTAGCTAGCTGGTACATCTGAAACCAAATGTTAGCTAAATGCATACTAACAAGATAGTTAGTTTACAACAATTGCTAATTAGAATGTTGCTGAATGTTGACTATATAAGTCGCTTTTATCTTTTAACCATCTCCAAAATGTGGTTATCTTTTCAAGACGAGTCTGGCACGTACCATATAAGCACAGGAAAGGAGAAAGTTGACTGAGGTGTTGACCGAGGCTTGCTCAGTCGTTGGAGCACAGAGCAAAGAGGGGCAGGACTTAGGAAGGGTGAACTAAGTTAATGGACAATTTTCAAATGGAAGGGAGAATGAACAGATATTTATCAACAGAGAAAGTTACCCACCGGACAGGGAGACTGTAAGAACACTGTGACCTTCTCATCCTCCAGCATGAGCTGCAGGAAAAGCCTTCGAATGAAGCCCGAGATGTTTCCAGAGATCGGCACGTTGCCTCGCTGGGGTGCAGACTGGAAGAGCTCACAGAGGACCTGCAGCCAGAAAATCTTTAAGTTAATACAGAGACGGATGAACATGTCCAAAACGGTTTGATACCACCAGCATTGATACGTCTGTGAGAAATTAACTTCTTGTATTTTCAAAACCATCCTTTAAAATAATGACAGTTTATGGCTTTGTCTGAGAATTCAAAACTAAATTCCTGCTAAAGCTTTAGCCTCCTAACAGAGTGGAATGTAAGAGCAGACCTGTGCCATGAGCCGCTGGTTGTTGGGGTGGCAGGAGATGCACTGAAGAAAGAAGGCCACGGTGGCATTCTCCAGAGCTGTCCTCTGCTGGGTGGTGAGTCCTCCTGCCTGCCCAGAAGACGCCAGGGAAAATCTTGACCCTGGAGGCTGAGGATGGGATGGAGGGGGACCTGCCGTAGATCCAGAGCCCAGAGGCTGACAACCTGCGCTGGTACTTGCACTGGCACTGGCACTGGAATGACATAGCAGGAAAAGCAATGCCGTCCATAGTGGATTGACCTCTGGTCCTCCTAGCCAGTCTTTCATGGCATGACTGTTGCCTACTTCAGTCAGGAAGCGCAGCACTGGAGCAGCCAGCTCAGCAGCCAGAGGAGGCCGACTGTGTGAGGATGAGGAGGATGAGTAATAGTGGTGATGGTGGTGTCGTCTCTCGGACTGAGCAGCGGGCAGAGGAAGGTTGGCACTAGCCAGGAGTCCGACACAGAACTGGGCCAGGCTGCGAACCAGCAGTGAGGGTAAGCCTGAGTCCAGCAGCTGCTCTATGGCTCCTGGAGACTGGGAGGCCGCCGCCAGAGTAGTTAACTGGGACTCCGACAGATTAATGGGCGGTCTCGCGTGCTTGGAGTCATCGGTGAGTCCTGCAGCGTTGGCATTGTGCTGCTTTTTGCCATCGTCCGTCATAGCGAGGCGGTGGTGCTGGGCTTGAGAGTGACTGGAGCTGGGAACTGAGACGATCCCCATCCAGGACATGAGCAGAGAGAAGTAGCTGGGGTGGATGTGACACATGGAACACAGCAGGCTATCCACAGCCTTCTTCAGCACAATGTTACACGGCAACGACATGGACCAGTTGTACAGCAGCCTGGAGGAAAAATAAAAATCAGTCAGTCATAATGAATCCATGTTGTTTATACTCAAAAGCATCCGATTTGTGCAAAATTCATCTACAGTCATTACTCAACAAGGAATATAATTTAAAAACAACTGTCTTCAGTAGGGTTGTATATGGGGAATTAATCCCACCAAAATCTATTCCCTTTATTCCCCCAAAAAGTACCTGTAGAAACTGAAATGTTTTGCTTATGTGTTTACACACTTAAACCTACTATATGTAGAAGAAAAAACATCATTAATGTTACCACACATCTTCTGAGGCAAGTCCAACCCTGGAATTCACTGAAACAGGCTCAATATTACAAGCTATTCTTACTATTTCCCTGCTAGTGGGCAGGGAATATGATTGGTCAACTCCGCAACAGTGAGGCAAAGTGAGGTAAAAATTGCAGGTATGTATGTACAGTATTTATCAGAAAAGACTATGACTGACTCAAAGAGCTCTCTGTTGAGCAGTGCAGGCAGGTCGTAGTCAACAGGCAACTCATAGCTGTGCCACAGGATGGCTGCCACACAGTGGAGGTGGGACGGGGAAGGCATGAGGAGGCCATATTCCCTCGATGAAGCAGAGGAAGAGCCAGCACCAGCGTATCCCATGGGGCCGCTCATCTTGTGAGCCGCCACCCGTGAAGAGTCATGGACCCACTGGAGGAGAGCCTGAATCCTGGAGGGTTAACATTGAAAACAAACTTCAATAAATAACTCATTTGGTGGTGCTGAAAACAGCATTGTCTCCTCGGTCACTCAGTGTGGTGCGTCACACTGCAATTTAAATGCAACAAACACGACCATATGACAGTAAAAGTTGACAAGGAGAGCGAGGACACTTTTTACTGTGTCTGGAAAATCACCTTGACAGAAAACTGTCGGCTGTTATTCTTACAGAGGTTAAGGAGAGTTTTAGTCGAGGTAAAAACAGGATGTGGATGTACCTGTCTTTGGTTCCAGAGTCCTGTGTCGTGCCCAGCTGGTACAGAATGTCGATGGTGGAGTCTGAGGAGAGGCCATTTAGGCGCCCAAACAGCAGAGGACTGTTCAAATCTGCAAAAATGGAAACTAAATTAGGATGCTATAATAAGGAGACCATTATCCTGGAAAGTTACGTTTTTCCCGATGATTTTGATCCTGTGAACTATGTTCTGCTACCCAACCCTTTACATTTAATATATTTGGAAGAAGCTCTTTGACAGAATAAGTGCTTAGAGGTAAATGGTAAATGGACCTGTACTTGTATAGCGCCAAAGCACTTTTTACACTACGTGCCACATTCACCCTTTCACACACATTCACTCAGTGATGGCAAAGTCCATCGAA